TCAACAAGGATTAGTAGCCCTGCTCCTGGGAATGATGGAAATTGCATTATGATACATCTGGTCATCATCAGCTTGGAGAAAAGGTATGTATCTGTGGCTTTTGAGCTTTATTGTAGTATAGTTTTTTATTATAATTTGCTCTTTTGAGAGCTCAGGAATACACCTGCTGTTTTATCAGCCAAAAACTGGAGATTGGCCAGCTGATGAGAAAACTGATCTGCATACTTCCAATTTTAGGTTTAAAATTCAATCTCAGAGGAGAACATAACCAGAAATGGGTTTTGAAGAACAAGACTGTTAATAGTTATACAGAGACACATGGCCGCAAAAGGAATTTCAGTTGATACAAGATGCTGGGTGTATACTTCTGTAATCTGAAGTTACTAGGTAGAAACAAATTAAACTATTGGCTTACAATATCACAGAATCAGAAGGTACTCGTGTTTGTTGAATCCAATATTGATTTGGTTCTAAAGAACCTCCAAAGATAGCAGATACTAGTTAAACCTAGTATCTGCCATCTTGTGGATTGTTGAGTATCCATGATGTAAAATAAATAAGTAAGAGTTCCCCGATTGTTACTTTTCTACATATAAATGTTATGTAGAAATAACCTTTATTTTTCCAATTTCTTTTTTGAGACACAAGTGGGTGTAGCGGGGAATCTTGAACAGATTTTTTATTTTAAGCTCAGACAGCCAGAAATGCAGGAGTCAGATTCGAAAAGTTCCATGGGAGAAATAATACTTATTTTGATCCAAGCATTCAAGAATCTATTAACAAAGATACTAGCACACAACAACACAATTAGATTTCATTACAGACAAGCTGCTCTGATTATTACCCTCAGTTTTGAAGATAATTAATACTTTTGTTTAGGTAAGTAAACAGTACCCTAATCAAGGTACTACCAACTCAGACAATCAAACAGTAAACAATACCTTAATCAAGGAGCCACCATCACTGCCCCAGCAACACTGACAGCACAAGCCGTACTCCCTCTCACATTGATAATGTTACTTAGTTCAGTAATGAACATCTGCAAGAAAACAACCAAGTGTCAAGGACCTCACCGTTCAACCCTGAGCTACAAATATTCTCGTCTATTGAAGACAATGCACCTTTTGTCAAACTGCACTTGGAACTTCACGGGCTGCTAGCGCTACTTTTCTCTCACTACAAGCTTTGATGGATGTTGTTATGAATGATTAATAAGATCCAGAAACAGTAGAAATATATGCATCTCATTGAAATATTGGGCGAATTGAGATCATTTATATTCAGATGTGCACCCAATGATAACCATTATTTCTAATGGGATGTTTGTTCTACTATGCTTCAAATGCACCTCACCATTAATACCTCTGCCACATTTGTGCAAACTAGGTCATGATGGGAAAGGTCCTTCTTCCTCACCCTGTACCTTATCAACTTGTAAAGAGCTCCCCATCCTTTCAAAATAAGGTGTGAACTATTTTCAAAGGAGATTAAGTTTTATAATGAGTGAGTCAGCTCAGCCATCCTACTAAACTGAATAAGAGATAGATCTGCCAAGAATGTACCAGGGTCTGGATGGAGCAGAACAATCTGAAGTTGAAACCAGGAAAGACAATACTGTTTGTCCATTAAAGTTGTGCTGACACCAGTCTTGTCTTCTAATGTGAAGGCATTATCTTGAAGGAGGACTTCTGCGGAAACACTAGTGAGAAGACATGACTAAGTGGGCCTTTGCCTTGCTTCAGCTGGTATACCAGTTGTGGCCTTCCCTGGTGCAAGAGAACCTTGCTACATAACTCATGTCATCATTGCCATCTGGTAAGGCTACTGCAGCATTATCTATATAGAACTACCTTCAACTTCTATCTGGAAACTGCAATAAATGTAAAATGCAACTGTCCCTGTATTAGCTTACACAGGAGCATGTTATCCTTGAGCTGCTGGTGACTTCAAGCTGCAATTACAGGTCTGGGTTTGACACATCAAGCCCATTACAGTTCAGTACCCGAGTACTGGCAGGATTGTTAATTTCAACTCGAATAGAACCAACCCATAAGGTCACTGAGAATGAACTGCTTGTAATTAATTTTTGAAAATCAAAATGAGTTGAAGTTAAAAGGTGTTGCTTTTCAGTAGCAATGCTGGCCTCCTGAAAGTCTCCCAATTGAAATCAGACTGACCTTCTTGCTGATTACATTCCATTTATGACAGAGTTTGTTTCATAAAGTATTTTAGCTTAGATCTGACATCCATTTAATTGAATAGGTGAGTTTTTAATGATATGATTTTGCTTAATTGTTTTCATTTTATACTATGGATATTTTGATGATATTTTATATTGTGTAAACTGCCAAGTTTTATTTTTAGCAACAGGACAAAAACACAATAAATAGCAAAGTGCAGTGGGGATCTAGTAATAATGGGTGTGTTACTAGTCCACTCTGCAAATGGACCTTTGTGTTATCATATTCCTGAAAATAGACTTTATTACTCGAAAGTATTGCTGAGCATAGCCTTGCAGCTGGAGATAACAGTAATTATAAATTTTGCACGATGTGTGCATTTTCAACTGTTTTTAAATCCCTATAAAGACCTGACTAAAGAGCTGATCTTCAGCCCGTCTTAAATACCACTGAAATCTTGGCAAACATTACAGTATATACAGTTTTGAAATTCAGCATTCATACTGAACCTCAGTTTTGACCTTTAGTTGGGCCTTTTCTCCACTGTATTCTTGTTTCTCCTGATACTTTCCTTGACAAATAGCAGGCTTTGTTCTTTGCACATTGAAGACCATAATAACAGCATGAAGAAATAACAATGGGAAGCTGTAATGATAAATCAAAGTGTCTCTATACACACTCGCTTTGCCAGCTTGAGTGAAATGTGCTAGATTGTCTTTCATAGATGTGCGCAGTGAAACTTTCAACAAAATAATCAGCCCAGATGGTAGGAGTATTGACCGGACAGGTCTGAGCTTGAAATATGACTGTCACTGATCAATGCAACTCAAATAAAGCAATGTAGTCTATTGGAACTAAGAAGCATGCCTTTTTCATACACACACACACACACACACACACACACACACACACTGCCCAGGGTAATTTGGAGTGTGCAGATCTTAAAGTATATAAGTAAACAAGCTGAATACTTTTCCATTCCCCCAGATCACAGATTAACCAAGAAGCTTTTCAGCATGATATAAGGAAATTCTTGTGTCTCTGTGTGTGTGCTCTCTTCAAAATAAAACCAGTCTTATCTTTTAGATGTTTCTGTAGAAAGAAAGGCAGCAACAGAAAATAATACTGTACAGCAGGTGTGTCAAACTCAAGGCCTGCCCCACGGGGTGCTTAGGTCTGGCTGGTGGGGCCACCCTGGAAACAGTGAAGAACCAGCCCACAGTGCCTCTGCCAGTGAAAATAGAATTCGGGAAGGCTGCAGGTGGCTCTCCTGAGCTCTATTTTCACTGGCAGAGAGTTGCAGGAAGCCATTGCAACCAAAAACCGAGCTTGGAAGCCCATTTTCTCTGGCAGAGCTCTCGGGCCCCCAACATGAGTGACATCAAGCTAGCCACGCCCACCCTGACTATAACCACCCTAGCCCCCCCCCCAAGGCCCAACACAACCCTGACAGCCCTCAATGAAATTGAATTTCACATCGCTGCTGCACAGCATGTATAAACTGCATCAATCTGACCAAATCCACTGTGTTTTCTGCTCCATCCGTAAAAAACGCAGCATTAAAACATTTAGTGAAAGAGACTCCATTTGTATTTCCACTTGTATTTCCGACATTCACTTCCACCCCTATCAATTCATTCCGTTTTGTGAGTACACAATTATAATTAACCAAATGAGGAAAATGACCTCAGTGTCAAAGAGATTTAAACTAGAAAAGGTGTTTTGTTTGTTTGTTTTCTATGGTATTTTTTTTTTTTTTTTCCAAATACCAAGGAAGTATTGGAATTACCTTTGCAGCTCTGCCATCTGCAACTCAGGCAGACAGCTGAGTTCCTAGAGGGCTGCTGTCAGGTGAGCTGAAATGAACAGAGGGAGACAAAATGCTCTCTTGAATATGGAAAAGTATTGTGAAATGTGAACAAACATGCAGAGAATGCCATAAAGAGTTATTAGCTTCTAGTCCCCAAACAGGTAGAGGATGTGTTTGACAGCTCAGTGACCCCAATTCCCAAATAATCTGTAGGGAAAACTGGCTTCGCAATGCTGTCATGTATCAGTAATACTTGCATCAATTTATTTGTTACTTCTTGCAAGATAGGGCAGTATTCGCCAGAAAATGGAGGTTAGCTGCATTTCCACTAGCATTTAGTCTGAGCTTTAAGTCCACTTTTCAAAAACTCTTCATATATATGTTATACAGAACAAATTCAGATGTAGTAATTCTGGTAATACAAGGATTGAAAACTGCTGTTTTGTCCATGCAACACAGTTTCCAAACTCAGGGGGGAAAATGAATGTTTTTTTATGATTAATTGTCCTAGAAACTTTTCTGAGCTTCAACATTAATGTCAGCCAGTTTATGGGAGACAGCTTAATTATGGGCAACTAGCAAGAAAAACCTCTGTAACTGACTTATTATATTAAAAAAGAATGAGAGGAATTGATAGAGTAGTATGGATTTCATCATGATATAATATCTGAACTGAGAGATTAAAAACAGAATTATAAATGATTTCCCCAAGGGGCTTAAGAGAAATGTTTCTCTATGGTTTACACAGAAATTAAGTTATCTCATTTTGAGTTTGGTATTGTGTATCTACTGGTGCCATCCTATGTTTCTGTGGTAGCATTTGGACTCTTCCTATGAATTGGCATCACAGTATATTTTACCCATAAAAGTTAAAAAATACTATAAGATTTTACAAGATTCAGATCATAATGGTGATAGGTGGTGGTGACCTAGCTTAGCATCTATGCAGCACTAGTTCTCAAAGAACACAGTGTTCTCTAGTTAATCCATATATTTTGTTCTCTTGTTAGACGAAACAACCTTTGAAGCAGGAGTCAAAGTCCAGATCCACAGTCAGTCTGAGCCGCCATTTGTTCAAGAACTTGGGTTTGGTGTAGCACCTGGTTTCCAAACTTTTGTTGCCATGCAAGAACAAAGGGTAAGTTATTTTTCTCAGGTAGGTTAGGTACCTGCCTGCTTTATTTAACATAGAAAGAGAAGAAAAGCTTCCTTGGTTGGATGGTTGGGTGACATCCCTAACAAAAGCACACTGATCTTCAACTTGGATCTCATCTGTTTTTGAGAATGGGTTGAGAATTATGATGAAGACAAAAAAAAAAAAAGATCATAGCTACAGAAGAAACTTGAATTGGATTTATAATAGTTTAATTTATACTTCCAAGAATCCTAAGAATTGCCATTTTATTAGAATTCCCAGAATTCTGTGGCCTGATTCATTCTGAATCATTCACAGAAAGAAGTGTGTGGAAAAAAAATATTTTAAATTGGTTTCCAAGAAAAGGGTTTCTGCATGTGAGGTTTAAACTGCATATCAGTCTGTCTTGTGCAATTTATATGAATGTGAATTACCATTGAAAAAATATCACAAAAAACACTATTCTGAATTACTTCTACTATACAATCTGGCACTGTTGTATAACCTACAGCTTTTTCAAATGTAAGCATAGAAGTAGCCTTACCTGAGATCAAGAAGCCAAGGTTTTGTCAACACACTGATTAATTAACTCTTTCAGCAGAGCTTGCCCTTATTTTTATTTGCTTATAAATAAATCTACAGCAATAGCATTTTCATGTTTTTGCCCATCAGTCATGGTTCCAGATCACATACAGGAAAAGTAACTGTGTACACATAAATGTGGTTTTATCAGGTCCAGCAATTGTTGAAACAAAGAATAGCAGGTGTCTATCATGTCTTCTGAAAAGACATTTTGTGGGATTAGTACATGTTTAGTCCACACTAAAGTATCATGGAAGTAATTACTGAAGCTGCAGAACCTTTCTTTCCTTTGCAGATTATTATTCTGCCAAAGGTAGCATGTTGAGAAAGATGAAATATTCCCTGAAACAACCATTTCTGCCAATTTTCCCATAAAAATTAAAGAAGCTTCAATTAAGCAAAAAGGTTGGAGATGTGATACTGGGTAGGAAAGCAGAAGTGGGCCTTTGAGATACATTTCAGGCAATATGGAAAGAGAGAAAGACTATCAAAATATGAGAAAAATATCTGAGGTTGTTTTTTATAAAAAGAGAACAGGGATTCTCGTTATACATTCTGTGACTTGGGAGCCATAGGTGGTATATTGATTATTATAACGGAGAATAGACTGTTGGTGAACTGAGAGGTAATAGCTGATGCAGGGCACAGAGAATATTAGACAGAAGTCAGTTGGCAAGAGAAACAGGCAATAATAGAAGGATTGTTATGGAATGGATGTGGGAAAGCTCTTGGATGGCTGTCCCAAAACATTACTCTCTAGAAACTAAAGCAGTAAAGACTTTTCATCTAAAGCAAAAGGAAGCGGCCTGGTGTCCTTCCAATCGTTTGGTCATCAGTTCTCACTACTCCTAAATCAGCCAAGGGCAACAGAAGATTGTGAGAATGGCAGGCCCAGATATAGGGAGGGAAGCTGAATGTCTTCTCCGGTCTATGCCAAACAATTTTCCCAGTCTGTTGCTGCTTTTTTTCCCCCAATTTTTTTTATTTCAATCTACATATAGCAACAATATATTAACAGTGTGGCATCAATATATTGTACATCTCTCATTGCATTATATTCATATTAATACATACTTCTGCAATATTTATTTTCAACCTTTCTTTCTCCAAATGCCTACCACCATATCAACTAAACATACCTAATAATTCCATTATTCAATTTTCTCCCTGTTTTCATTTTATTTTTTTAAATGAAAAATTCTCATTTGGCAAGCAGTGTGGTTCCAGGTTTCACATCTCAATACAAACATAACCATAGTTACCTGTTCATTTTATTTGTTTAATTTCATATTGCATCATCCTAATCATTATTAAATATTAAGCTTATCTTATCCAATCCCAATTCATGTTCTCATGTCTTATTTTACAATATTATCTAAAATTCTCATCTCAATTCTATGTTCATTTATTCAATTCCTTCTAAGTTGGCTTCTTCTTTATAGAACTCCTCCCCCTCTGGTTTATTGTGTTCTTTTGTATGCTGAGTCACCATTTCTAATTTCTGTAGTACATAATTACACATTGCAAGTTTGATTTTTATCATGTCCCTTGTATCTTGCATATCCGATCTTATGTCTTGTGAGTCCACTCTTATATCAACAAGTAGCTCTTCCATTATATCTTCTTTTTTCTTTTTCTTTCCTCTTCCTTAATAATTGAAATCCTCTTCTTTGATAGATATATTCAATCTCAGAGTCCAGTATATTATTTCAGCCAATATCTTTTGAGTTTATTTTCAACAATTCATACTCTCGAGTCTTTATTCCAAATTTTCTAATTGGCCTCCCAACTGTTTCCCAAATTACTGAGTGGTTCTATGACAATAATAAAGTTCCTTTTATTTTCTTTCAAGTTCCAAGATCCAAACTCTCAAAAAGACCAGACACGTGTTTTAAAACAGACTTTTTTAAAAAAGTTTTCCTGTGCTATCAGGTGGCGCTCTTGAGTTTTTTTCTTTTTAACTTTCTTTATTGAATATAATATTTTTATTAAGTTTGCTAATTTCAATCATTAGCTATTCTTTTCAACACACTCAATTCCAGCATTTAGTTATGCCCTTTAAGTGCCCACAGTTCAATATATGTCCAGTTTAATTTTTAATCCTTTGTTGTGTTAATGTATTTTCCTTTAAATTTCTCCTCCAGATTAGTCCAATAGAATAAAATCCAAATTTAAAAACTAATTCCTCACTTTCTCTGGTCGCGGCTTCCACACACTTTCCTCCAAAATAGCCCTTTAATTTGATACCAGGGTACCTCAAAAGCGATGTCCTTTGTCTGGTTCACACTTTTTTCACTACTTCTCTCTCCAGCACAAAACTTAGTTTCCCGGAGTGTTCTTCATCTTTGTGGTGGCCATTGTGGGACCACCACTGCAGCTTGCCTTTGGGAGGGATTTTCCTGTCAGGGAGGGGAAATACAGCTTCCCTCGATCTTCCAGGTGATTTCCTCCTTCTTCACCACCCCACCAGGGTGGCTCTAGTTTCGATCGAGACCCTCCAGAAAGTGAGCTTGGATGAAACCATGCACAATCACGGATTCCATACCTACACCAATGAGGAACAAACTGGAAGTCCCAGTCTGTTGCTGCTTTGTATAAGCATTGCACTACAGTTCACATTATCCCAGAAGAAATAGCAGTTTGCTATTGAATATATGACTGAAGTAAGATTTTGATCATCATGTGAGAAGTTGGTAATATAAGGTGAATGGAATGTGACACAATAAGTTTTGGCTACAGCAGATCGGGAAATTTAGATTTAACTTAAAATAAAACCTACCTTGGGTTGGTACCATTTCAGAAGATTTTGACTATCATCTTTATTTTTTGAGTGTAAACATCTCCCATAGAAGATGAAAGTTAAACAGGAAGCCTTATACAATACTACCTCTGGTCATGAATGCTTCTGACCCTGACCAAATCGGGTTCTGACCAAAAAATCACAATTTTTTTTGCAACTGATTTCCCCTTCCGTGTCTTTTTTTTGGGGGGGGGGGTAAGCCAAATTTGGTAAGCCAAATTTCCAAAATTAGGTTCGGGTCACAACCAAATCGGGTTGTGACCAAAGTTATGGATCATGACATGAGGTTCTATTGTATCTTAACTAAGGAACTCACATGTATCTTAGCTTCCTGTATTGACTCATCAGAATTTTCAAGTTAATTCTCTTAATATTATCTATCATGGCTTATTGTATTCCATGCTGAATTCCTATGTGAGCAAAACCACTTACCTCCTCGGGTTTTGATGGCAGTTGGGACCAGGATTGCCATCAGAAAGTGACATCACACATTGTCCCAGCACATTCTTACCCAATACACCGGATTTCTTCACAATCTTTATAGAAAAAAACTCTCATTATTTATTTTATTGAAATAATTCATATGCAGCATTTTATAAGCATTGTTCTTAGACCTGTGGGATAGCTAAACATTACATAGAAATACATATCTCATAAAATTCAGATCCCTTGGCTATGCATTAGGTGCATCCTTTTTCTTGATTTTTTGGCAGCCATCTCCAATCTATTATTTGTCAAATAATTATCTGCAAGTTCCTCCCCATAATGTTGAAGGTGTATATGACCCTTGACTTTTGCTGAATACTGTAATAAGAGAAAGAAATAATTGTTCTTTAATGAGACCTCACATCAGATCACACAAATAGAATTGCTTCCCCATTTCAGCCTGCCTATGACTCCATTTTGTCCATCTGCTCTCATTGTCTATTGAGCTTAGCACTTGCATCTGATTTCTCTCTTTCCTTTTCTTTTTCTTGCAAAAACCATCAAATAGCAACTGATACATTTCTTAATTTACTCCCTTCATATCTTCTTTCTGATTATTTCATGTTGCTTGTTATTAACCAAATTGACTTCGTTGGACAAGTGGAAATGACCAGTTTATGTTGATAATAAAACCAAAGTTCTTCCATCTGGGAACCAGGCATTTAAATAACTTTTTCTTGTTTCAGATTATCTTTGTACAGATACATAATATATGAAGATAATGTCCATATTAATTTTTAATATGATTTTTTTCACATGGCAGAGAAAATTTTACTCGGTACTTTTTAAATAATTATAATTATTCAGTGGGATAGCTGGGGAATTCTGAGAGTTTGCCAAGTTTGATAAATACTGAAACAAATTAATCCTGATAAATGTGAGATTACAAAGATACCTATCTATTTTCCTTTGACCAGAGTTTAGCAGATGTTTGGATTACAACTCCCATTATCTAATTGGAATTTCCAAAATTCTTTCTGTCTCTTTCCATTAAGGGTTAGAAACATGAAGCCTCTTTTACTTGATTGCTGCAAAGCTATTGAAGTAATATATATTGATGGTAACCACTGTAATCCTTTTGAGGGGGGCGGGAGACTAAAGTAATTTAAAGGGAGAGAGACCACAATTATATTAC